CTTCCGGAATTTCATTAATTAAAAAAGAAGTTTGACAATTCAATCCTTAACTGAGAAACAACATTCGCGTTGATCGATTAGGAAATGACAAACCTCAGAGCGCGCAATGGTGAAAACGGCGTGAGCAGTGTTCTTGTAACTGGGAAGATGAGAAACTCGACCATCATTAACTGCAGAGTCAAGCAATACTTCTAAGAATGGAAGGCACGAAAAATCAGAAATAGTAGTTTACATGAGAAGAGAAAGAGGGAGAGAGAACCTTGGAACCTAGTGCGAACAACATCGAGTGGATACATAACGGCAACGGTGGCGAATCCGGCGGCAGCGCCCGCGGTGGCGTTCTCCCACTGCCATTTATGGCGCTTGGGCGCTTCCGTTGACATTTATATAGTATGGAAAACTTCAGATTCAGAGTTGAATTGATTGAGACTGCGACACTCAACTGTATCTGGATTTTGTTTGTTAGAGCGTCTCTCTCTCAACGAACTTGTGTTTTTGTCACGTGCAAAACATCAGAACTTATTTGGTGATCATTTGTACTTCTATGCGTAAAAAAAATAGTATAACATATTATATATGTAGAATGATCATATGATTATACAAAAAACAAATGAATTTTTATACTTATAAAAAATAAAAATTAAAAAAATAATGTCCAATGAATATAAAAAACTTATCTATATTAAAATGTTAAAAAAAATTCTGTTATTTTTATACAAACAAGTTTTTACACACATTTTATCCTATTATTTTATCTTTTCATTTTTTACTTATTTTAAAATTATAAAAAAAATAATAATTAAAATATCTGTAAAACTGAATTATCTAGATGTTAAAAAACAATTTCCTAAAAAGAGCTCGAATTAAAATATTTTAGATTGATAGATATATTGTTGTGTACGACCCACAACATAAGGTTGATTTGAATTTATCCAATAACAATTTGTTAAAATTAACAACGATTTGAGTGTTCTATCTTTTCAATTACATTTTATGTTTTCAAAGTACATAAAAACAATGATTATATCACCCTCTTTAAGTTCAGAATTAAAGAAATTGAGTTTATATGTGTTTTCTACCATCACTTATATGGAAAGGAGTTGTTGAATTAATAAATAATTTTAATTTCATCAATAAATTTGATATATAAATTATATCTTATATATATATATATATATATATATATATATATATATATATATATTAGTTATAAATAATGTTAAATTTTATCTTTATTAAAAATAATATTTTATTTTGTATAATGCATCAACATTGCACCACGGTTGAGTTAAAAACTAATTCATTAAATTTAGATTATAAATATTTTATTTGGCTTAATTTCTTTTGTAGATTTTTTATCTAATTTTCATATAAATATAAATAAAATTTTAAGCATGATTAAAGCTAATCAATTAATTAAATATCTATTTTATAAAGATTTATCATTATCAACTTCAAAATAATACTAATTACTCTTTTTTTTTATATTCTTACGATTCACTTATAATAGAAATGAAAAAAAAAGTAATTAACAAAATATTACAAACATTTTATTAAATTAAAAAATATATTTTCTTAAACAAAATCCTTAAACAACACTTAAAATAGGTAGTATAAAATCATTTTTTATGCATAATTTCGACCTCTATTTTTCTTTTTTCTTTTTATCATTGATTTGAGTTGTGACGAATAGATCATTTGTACAAGATGAACTTGATATACACAATATATCAATGAGAAATTTTAGTTTTTGTATCTCGTAATTTCTTTCTCCACCTCAATAAGAGAAAAAACAAATTTCTCAAATTATATAAACTTTTCACCATATTTTTATTCTTCTTACACCTTTATAGTTCAAGCAATTGTCATTTATCAGTTAGCCAACGTAAGTATTATTACATTTCTCTAGTTCATCTAGCCAACTTTATTAAAGTAGGTTTTCTTCTTTTTTTTTCTATCTTTACATTTCTAGGTTGATATTTATTTATGTGGTAAGAAATGAGTTTGTTGTTGAAAATCCAAATGTGAGTCTGAATTTTATATTGAATAGAAATGAAAAAATAAAGTACTATATAAAAATGAAGATCCATTATATTTATTAACTCGATAATTAGTCTGTGTTTTTTGAGTGAACATCTTCCTCAATAAACTTAACATTTGTTTGTAATAACATAATAAGTGTTATTCTTATAGGATATCGGGGAGTTAAAATTGGTGTCACATGCATGAAAGATGTCAAATGAGTAGAATGATGTTATAGTAGAGAATTTATGTTTGTTGGCCTTATAGAGTACTAGTTATGAGATGATAAAGAAAGGGTTCTTGTTTATGTTTATTGAGAGGGATTAAAGAGACCAACAACTCTTATCTCTAAATTGGTGAGAGATTACAAACATATTATGATATGTTCTCACTCCTTCACATTTCTATAATGGAAGATTTTCACATGTAGTTTAGGTGTAACTATGGTAATATGTGTTTAAGTAGAATTGCTTTGAGTAAAGTATGATGATGTGTTTACAAAAGCTAGAAAATGTTGTGGCAAACACTTAGTTTTGTTAAAACAGGTCACTCGACCCAATCCAGTTCGACCTACTACAGATTGACTACTTGATGAGTCAACCTAACCCGACTCACTTATTAGCGAGTAAAAAAAATTTGAATTTGACCCCACCCATCACGAGTTGGTGGGTTAAATAAGTTAGCTCACTAGCTCATTTAATTACACGTTTTTTTTTTCAATTAAAAAAATAACAAAAAATTTCTAATTTAAATCTAAATAAAGAGGAAAGGTCTTAAATTATATTTATGATCAATCAAATATAATATTTCATTCATATAAAGATATCACAAACTCTTCTCAACAAAATTTTTAGTAACTTCATAATGCTTCAAATTTGTTTTTGTATAAAAATTGAGTTACTAAGTATAGATTTGTGAGTTTTTCATATTATCTAATTATTCCATACAAAAAATAATTTCATACAAGTCTCTGTTTCAATATTTGTAAAATGACTATCCCAATAAAAAAATACTTATTACAAAAATTAGGTGGGTTTATGAGTCAATCCAGCTTTACCACAATCCGAATTCAAAATTGATCCATATCAAAATTTCAAAAAGTTTTTCAACCCAACTTAAGCTGTGATAGACCAATTTGGCTAATGGATTTTAGCCCATTTTAACAACACAGTCACGCTTATACATGTCACTACTTTAATGGTTTAGATTTGTTTGATATTACGTTGCAAATGTAATTGTTTTGATACATTGGTCAATACTCAATATTGTAATAGGTGTGAATATATAAACACTTTTCTAACATCATTTTCAAGGATATTAGTTTGACTTATGTTAAGGATCATTCTTGTACTGACAAATATGTGGTAGATCAGGCATTATCTGTTCTTAAAGAAATCAGGTTCTAGCTTGATGGTTTGACCTTAAATGTGTTCAAGTGAAGGTTGTATGAATAACATCACACCGACAAACCATTTGAGTGGAAATCCATGCCTTTAGGTACATTTGCTTAGGAACTCACAAACATCTTCATTTGTCTAAATGTGTTGCACTAATATTGTACATGCAAATCATTCTTCACCCACTTCCGTCCCACAAATTTGTCTTATAAGAGGGGAGTTACTGCTAGTTAAATGAAAGGTGGCTACATTTTGTTAATCACCTAATTATGAATCTAACAAAGGGGCGCGTCTAGTTGCATGTGTGGTCGTATACATGAAATGGTATCAATCTAACATTCACACTTCAATTGGTCGTATACACGCCTCACTATCGAAAATAGATTCCATATTACCAAACACCTCATGATATATTATCAGGCTGCAATTTAAAACAAAATTAACTGGCACTAAAAGGTTTCTAATGGATTCTCAAAATCAAAGCAATCGAGTGCTAACACACAACTCTGAATTTACCCTTGTTATTTGCTTCCACAATTATGGCCTATTTGTTGAGTGACTTTGAAGAAAAAGATCGAAATGATAAAGAAGAATGAAAGAGAACGAATTTTTTATAGTTTGCGAAAGGAGATGAGAGAAAACAGCTACGTGTAAGAGAATATGAAACTCATTCTAGCTGCTTAGCTTCCCTCCTCGCAAAACAAATCTGTTTTCAGAGATGGTCTACCTAAGCAATTCTGAAAAGGATGAAATTAAACCGAAATGAGGTGCAGTTGATAGGAATCTATCAAAACCACATAAAATAAAAGGAGATAAACAACAATGAGAAAATAAGATCTATTCCACAAAAACTGCAAACAACAGCCATGAGAAGCCTAAACTAAGGAGGCAGCATTGGGGGAATAAGTGTTTAACTTCAATTCTAGTTGTCCATTACAAATGATTGCGTGGCCATGGTAGTCCAGTAGATCAGCACGTAACATGTATATGATTCAAAAATGATTCCACTGTCATAAACCAATTCTACAATACATGCTAAAAAAACAATGAACAAAATTCAAGGCAAAAAAGTGGCTCAGTTAATGGAGAAATAACAACAAAAGAGTAGTGAGGTTTGGTCACCAAACTTTTCAAATACAATAAAGGACAACAGCTGAGAGTGAAAAAGTAAGCATCAAAGCAAAAATACTAACCAGAGATTGAGATTGCCAAAGACAAGACCAATGTAGTAAAATTTTCATCAAAATATACATAGAATAACCCTATACACCATCATCAAGACATACATATTGATTCAACCAGACACCCCACTTTATGTTGTCACAGATATTTCCATGTATAATTCATTGCTAATTGATAGTTCCATACAAGTCCGGTCATTTAACACATGCTATCCTCAAAGTAAAATCCATTTTGAGGAATGCTTGAGAAGTGCAATTGAATCCTGGTATTAAAAAAAGTTTCTTATAATACAATTCGACATACACGATAAAATATATGGTTCCTTTTTCATAGAAAGGGGGACTGTAAAATATTCGAGCTTCCACAAAATTGAGGATACAACCAATGAATAACACTAACCCAGGCGCTGCTGAAGACTATGAAGAAGGTTTGGGGCTTGGATCGTTCTGTTTGTAGAGATTATTATATTGTTCGAGTTCCTCATAATATATATCCCAAACGCATCGGACGCAGCCGCTTCCGCAACAATCGCCGGGCTCCGGCTTCTCCGGTGGCGGCGGAATCTCCTTGGGCGGATTGGGATTGTTGTCATCAACGAGGGCGTGGGGTTTGGGTTGGATTGGGTGCGGCGCGGGCGTATTTGCGGCTCGCGAGGGTTCCGCCATGCGATGGGGCTGGAGAAAGAAGGGTTGCGTGCGTTGAAGGGGAAATTTGGTGAGGGCGGTGTTGAAGGGAAGGAGCTTCTGGGTGAAATCGCAATGTGCTGTTCTCATTGTCTACGGCGCCGCCACCGTCTCATTCTCTTTTGGGATTGGGATTTGGGATGAATGAAGTCCACAACGACCAAGATTGGAAGCTGTCGTTTTAAGCAGTCTTTGCGCGTTTCGCTCTTTATTTGTCTGTTTTTTCTGACTTTTTTCTTTCGTACAGTAGGGATTATAAAAATTGAAAAATAAAAGTAAAAGCTAACACGGGTTTAATAGATTAAAATTTAAATATATAAAAACAAACACAGAATTTATTTAAGTTTAAAGGCTTACTTCTTTTCTTAATTTTTTTTTATACTCGATTTTAAAAATTGAATACATTTAATCCCTATTATAAAAATTGTATAAATAAAATCGTATAGATTAAGTTCATAATAACGACGTATTTTTTCTTTTTTTTCTCTGTAGTCCAACTTTTTACCCTGTAAGTATTTTCTCTCTTCTCTCCTCTCGTGTTAATTAATTCTTATCATAATTATTATTTTTTTATAACACATTTAAAGTACATACTAAAATGTGAGTGTAACATTGTTTGATTTTTTTTAAATATTTACAATTAATTTGTTATGATCGTATTTCACTTTTATTTCTTCTTATTATAATATAGTGAGTTAAAATTTATTAACTACACAGGATAAATTTAAATGTTGTGGATTTACTATATATTTTATACATCAAGATGAATTAAATTAACTTTTTTACACTAAATAAATGAAATAATGAATTAAAAATCCTTGTATAAATCTTAAATCTAATATTGTAAAAGACAATAAATATCAAATTTAAAATTTATTATTAAAATTCATTTTTATTTGAGAGAAAAAAATTGAAATAAATTTAAAGAATAACGGGTCATAATATTTTTAAAATAAGATTTTAAACATAAAATAAGTAGTATATACAGTAATTGCGTAATTTTTTTACAATATTTAAACTTCGTTTTAATAATTATCAGCATTGTACAAAAGTTATACTCACGATGCATATCTATTAAACTAAAAAGCATGTCCTAAAAATTACAAATATATATAAACACGTCTATAGTAACATTAATTTATTTATTATGTGATAATTAATTATTAATATAAACAGTTATCATTCAAATATTTAAAATTTTCTATAAATATAAAATCCGTATTTTAAAGAAACTGAATGGAAAATAAACTACATTGAATATGTATATTGGTAAATATTTAAATTTGTTAATATTCATAATTAATATCGTCTATGTTTTTTTTTTATCTGATGCAGTGAGTGACTTTTGTTTTCTATAGTTTTCTATACGCCAGGATAGATCGTCTATGTTTCTATATGTCATGCAATTTATATATTAAGTGAATAAAAATCATTATTATATAATTAAGAAAAGATGAAAATCAGGGAGAGATTCATTGATTGTTATTACCTAATGTTCCGTCTGCTATGTGTTCTACAAAATTGATCTCTTGACCAAGATGAAAATCAACATCCTTAAAATGACAAAACACTAATTGTAATTAATAATTCAAAGGATCAAAAGCTGAATAATACAATAGAACACTGCAGAACAAAAAACTCGATAACAAAGGAGAGAAGAGGAAAAGTACGCCAGATAAGCATGAAATTAACAACGATATTGTCAACTTAACGGAGAGAACTTTATTCATATAATTTTCATAACATAGGAACCCAATATCTTCATTTATAAAACCAGATATAAAACAGAAATTCATCTCTTAACATGAAGACGAAGTAACCATTTAAACCATTTATTTATTTATTATTATTATTATTATTTAGTTTTACACATCACGCATAATCTCGTATTGGTCTGCACAGACACACATGTATATTATGTCTTAATCTTATAAATATATTACATAATATTTTTAAATTAACTTAAGTTATTCTTACGCTTATTATTATTATTTTAAGCAGTTATCAAAGAATTAAAAAATAAAGGCTATAAATATATATCCATTTATTAATTCTTTTTTATGTAAATAATTTTTGGTTCTGTTTATTTTATCAATCAATTTTTTGGTAACCATGTTAAAGACCAAGAAGAGGAAAAAACCATGAAGGAAAATGAAAAAACTCAGTCATTCCTTGTAGTCGGTTTAAGCAATTTTAGAACGTTTTCATACACAATAAATGTTATTGAAGAAGCAGGAGCGTTCTTCAACAGGTTTGCCGTAATTCCTCTGTAATAACCTCGGATACCTTCAAATCTGCAAGAACAGAAAAAAATATATAAAGGCAAGAAAAATAGTTCAATTTGAAATTATCAAGTTTCTCCGGTGCATAGTTGTCAATAGAGAGATGTAAACTAAATCTGGGTGAGCTTTAATGTGTAGTTATGTACCGTGCAGTTTCTTTCACAACATGCCAAGTGTCCATATATCTTGGAACACCATCACCACTAGGCCGTTGCTGCAGAGTCAGGAATTTCAGAACAACTCAGAGAAAGATGCAGTGATGCACATTTAATAGAATGGAAACACACAATGTATCTTTGAAAGGACAAAGCAGTACCTGCAATCGGGCTCGCATAACCTGAAAGAAAGGGGGTGAAAGAATGCCTCATAAGAAAGCAACTTCATCAATTACTGAAATATCAATTTCAAGGACTATATAAGATATACCTACTTTAAAAGAGGGGACAGACAGTTGTACCTGAAATGGATAAGTTAGCAGTATCGCAGCAAGTTTTGATGTTGCTCCAAGAACAGCATAATCAACAGAATTCTGGGAAAAATAATACAAGGTAAAAACATTTCAACTGTAAGCGTTGGATAAGAAGAATGTTTAATTGTTTATAACACAAAATCAATGGCAATCATTTGTAAACATTAGATAACAGTAAGTTAAGAGTACGAGGCTCAGACATATCTTATAAAGCTATAAACTTGAAACAAATAAAATGTAGGATATGCATAAAGCTACATTTCTCCATTTAAATGTCCCTGAATACTACATAGCCATTTGAAAATGGTGAATAAAAGCTGAGGTAACTAATATCAGCTAAAATATAGTAAAACCAAAAAAGTATACAATCAAGTCAAAATTATAGATCCCCTACTGACGTGCAGGAACTATCAGAGTCATGATCCATGACACGCATCATTTTGCTCTACCCAACTACCAGCCATGACAATAGAAGAATGACTTAGAGAGCAATGCATGTGATTAGAAAGGTCATTCATCAAAATAATCATTTGAAAAATGTAAATAGTCCAATGCATGTGAGCTCCAGAGTTAAATGGATCCAAGGTCCTCTAACTTACCAGCAATTTATCTGGGTTTTGATTATGTACTGTACTTCTCTCACTCTTAAAATCAACAATAACTTTACGTAGTTCCTCATATGCTGTGAACTGAATAGCACCATGAGAAACCTGTTGAGGCATAATGAAAAGCTGATAAGTATGATCTTAAGACTTTTGTCAATACTTGATATAATTGAAATAGGCATCGGAATTTTAAAATTGGCTTTCCACGCCCTAGAGTAAAGTAGCAACCTAACAATGGTTTTAGTGAATATAACTAAAAAACTTAAGCAAAAAGTTATCATAAGCTAAAGCTTTAATATAATTAGTTTTCAGATACAAATGCATGGAACTTTGTTATTACTAATATCCTGGTAAGGAAAGAGTAAACAAATTTAAATAAATATGCAATCCACCCAATGAATTAGATTTAATGACAAGCAGATTCGTCCTTTACTTTTAAGCTTAACACTATTCCAGCCACATTTTGTGCTAGGTACATTCTATTACCATGTTATCGCTGGTAATGAAGTGAAATTTTCTAAATTTAGGAATTTTAAGAAAAAAATTCCAATCTCAAATAATTTAGAGGAATGGTCAACATATGGTTAAAACAAGAATTTCCTTCACGTGGTTAAAAGCTATTTAGTTAAATGTTTCTAAGTTGTACATATTTTGGATAACGATTCCCAAAATAAAATTTGCTCAAAATTTCATGATGATATTGTATTCTGAAAAGTAAGGTTTTGGTGTATACTAAATTACACCAAATTTAGGAGAATTTTAATATAAAGTTTGAAAATAAAATGTACACAACCTGAAATTTGGGGTAGTTGCAACTTCTCACCTTAAACTTTTAAACTGTCAGAAACATCCCAACAGATCCCTTCGTCCTACTGCCACTAAGTAACACAGAATGTTTGTCATGCGATGATCACCTACCATGATCACCAAAATACATTGGCACTGGCATTATACTTAAACATAACAAGCATATATTAAATGTCATTGGGAAAAAAAATTCAGGAAGTGAGTTTTGTACCCTTTTATTTTAGTTGTACTTTTGGTCCCTAAAGAATATTGTCAATATTGCTTTATCAAATCCTCAACCCACTAATCTCTTCATAGCTCCAAAGTTCAACAAACTTTAGAAAAATTGCATCCACTCTCAAGATTACATACCTTAAGTTTCCATGAAGCTACAGGTAAAATAATAATTCTAATTTCACTCATGATTTGTACTTGAATAATTCCCACCTGACTGCTACACAACAAGGGAAAAAGGGTAGATGGACAATGGGAATTTTGTGAAGAAATTTTTAATCGTGTCCTCGCATAGAATATGTGTGAAGGCTGGAGATGATACAGCAAATCATTTGCTGATAAGTTAATGATCATGTAGCAATCACACAATAAACACATCCTTAGTAACTTACCAGCAATTTAATGGAAGGATCTGGGATCCGTTGTGATGTTTTTAATATTGTATAATAGTAGGAAGCACCCATACCTCTACAGAATATTGTGTTAGCATATGAGACAGATTCCAGACATGTGTCAGACACTTGTCAATTATATTGCAATTAAAATATATTTTGATTTAAACACTTCTTGGACACAGTTTGCGTGCAAGTAGAGTGTGTATGGTGATACCTATTCGTGACTAAACACTTACTTAACACAACTATAAGAAAAAAAGTAAAATGAAATAATATAATCAACTTAATTTATAAATATTAAATGGCTCATAATTTTTTGTGAGGTTTCTTTTTTTTGTGTGTGTGTGTGTGTGTCCCCATGTCCTATACTTCAGTCATTAGACATGTCAAGTCCCATGTCATGTACGGTGTCCTTGTCAAGTTGGTTATCAAAATAATGTTAATTGGAGATTCAGAGTTCATAGGGGCCAGTTGCAAAGGAGTAGTGTTCATGTTAAATTTACAACTAAAAATTTGAAGTGCCAAGATTGACAGTAAAGAAAACAAGAGCCAGCAACATACCAGAAACAGGCTGGGAACAATCCCTTTGTAAAATGCTCTAAATCCTTCTTCCCTCAGTATGGTCTTAAAGGCATCTGAAATTGCATTTTAAAATACAATTTCACAACTAGTTAGTAAATCATATATTGATGAATATAACCACAATAGACAAAACATGCTAACATATATAGTGATCATGAGACCGTCACATGCCAAAAAACATAGTAACCCACAGTTATCAAAAGGAAGCATCAATAATAGTTTCTGATAGTCTTTGGGGTTTGGCAGATAAAAGTGTTCTTAGTGGCTAGTTGCAAACGACACAATGTTGAATATAGTTTGGAGAACAAAGACCTAGACTTTTTTTAGATTGTTTACCTTTACGTAAGCACAACCCATGCATTATACTTAATTTGATTAAAATTTTAAGTTCTGAGATTGATAGGTAAAATAACAAAGAACCAGCATCATACCAGAAATAGACCAGGAACAATCCCTCTGTAAAGTGCACTAAATCCTTCCTCCCTCATTATGGTTCTAAATGCATCTGATATTTAATTTTTACAGATAAAGATTTTCATGACTGGTTAGCAATTTATATTGTGAAGAACATAACTATAATAAACAAAATGGCACAGTGACTATAATGTTTTAGGTAGTTGAGTGAAACATAACCATCCTTGTCCACAGATCAAAAAAGAAAAAACAAAGTCAACTTATGCACCTAACTCTCACATCTTGATCATTCTTTTCCTTTCTTAAAATAAGTGAAATCATCTATAACTAATTAAGGTTGAAAACTAATTCTTTAACTAGTCTCAGAATTATAGTAAGTTACTCAGCAAAAATATAGTTTTCTTTTCTTTTTCTGTACAGCAGTAGTATAGGCATAACTGTCGCTATAGTAGTATGATGGTCTCTCTATCTTCCTAACTAATTCTAATTTAGATTTATTATAGTTAGTTAGAGCTCCATATACTTGATTGTATTCAGTTAGGTTTGTGACAAATTAGTTAGCTAAATATAATAGATTGATTGCAGTCAGTTACTCTTGGGTTACCAATTAGTTTTACATGGAATCTAAATCTCTTATTCATTCTGTGTCTCAACCTTAATAAACATCGTCCAAGACAATGCAATAAAACAAATAGGATGAAAGAACATGCTTAATACTAGTTACTAATGAATCACTGAATACACATAATAGAAATATAGAATTGGTCATGATTCCAAGACCATTTTTGGGTGACAGAGATAGATGCTCTCTGTCAAATACTTCTCAAATTCAACTTTTAGATACTAATTTCAAAAAGAATTTAGAGTAAGGTGACTAAGATTAAGAATAGTCTAATGTAAAAGATAATAATTAAACTATGTATTATAGCTAACATCTAGAGTCAAAGCACAAATAATATGAATGCTGTAAAATCTAAAATCCCAAGGTAAAAAGTTAAAATAATAAAGTTAATTTTAAGATGGAGAGCTGACCATAAATCCCAGAGTATGGACGTGTCTGATGAAGTGGAGTTTGAAGCTGCAATCTCGTTTTTACTAGCCAGACAGGATTTGTGCACAAGGAAACCTGCAAAGGAAATGGAAACAAAATTAACAAGATTTAGTTGAAATCCCATCCCACACAAATATGTGCCACAATAATTTTGGCAGGCTTTGAAATCCTAATCATACAACTCTGCAAGCTACACAAGATCACGATGGATAAGAAACTTGAAAACTTAAGTGCTTTAGTTCCATCATCACAAAAAGTTCAAAGAGTAATTTTTACTAGCAAATTCACCAAATACAGTTTACCTAAAGTACTTCATTGTGGTTTTTATTCCTCCAAAGTGAATCTAAATTGACGGGATCACTTTAGAGAGTCTTAGAATGTGAGTTTTAAGCCTAAGTCATCTTCACAAAATCAAAATCGTTTGCATATATATATATATATATATATATATATATTTATTATAATTTGGTCGGTCTCGAGTCGAACATGGAGAAAAGTAATATATCCATCAACAAGAAAGAAAATAAAGGGAATAGATTTAAATGATTTCATATTTTATTATATTTACATGTATTTTATCACAATCTCAATTGTTGATTTTCAAATCAATGGCCATATCATCTCCCCTTTCCCTTTAAAGTGAATCACTTGCTTTGGATATGACAAATTTCTTCAATGTATCACATTTCATCTCTCATACAGCCCAGTAGTGACAAAATTTACAAAGCAAAACCTAAGGGGCAACAAAATTCAAGCAGTGTTGTACAACACACTCATCTAGAGTCATATATGTGGCTTTCTATTCATAAGATTGGGATTTTTCTCACTTACCAAACCTCCTGCTTCAGCAGCTGAGGCAAGATGAAGACCTGGGCTCAACTTCCCCTCCCTGTTCCTTGCATATCTTTGTTTGGCTTTGTCATAACTGCAATATAAAAAAAAGGTTTGGTACACTGACTTTGGTCTTCTAGCAAAGCAAGCAGATGGACCAGTAACCACTTAATGATAATAATTAATCACTCAATTCTGGCAGGTAAAAATTTAAGACAGGGAGGATAATCCTTTGGCAGGATATATAAATTGAATTTACAGAAGTTGTTTAGTGTTAAATGAAACTAATATTAACTGTAACTAAGAGATATTGACATACTGATTTCGTGGGTGAGTACGAGAGTGATTTTCAAACTTGTTTAAAAAAGTTAAAATTTAACTCGAGAGAATGCATATTTGTTGCACAAACAACAGGACTTGGACACCCAAAAGCCAGTCATCCTATATAATATCATTCTCTCCTAGATGTCAGACATAAAAATGATCAGATAAAACAAAATATTTGACTTCAATCAAATTATTGAAGATTGAATTAGTACTTACAAAAAGAAATATAAACCCCACGAAATGGTAGACCCAAGAACCCCCGGAAGAAAGCCTGCATATAAGCCTCTTAATCCCTGCAAGATGCAGCATGGCATATAAGTAACACATTCATAGTTACACAAAGTACTTAAAGCAAAAAGTTTCTCCCCTATAGCAATTTTGCCATACCAAATCAATGAATAATATGTGGATGGAAGAACATTGAGCCTTACTATTGGTCTTAACTGCAAGTGAAACAGTGATCATATTTGTGAAAGTAAGACCATGGACAAGATGAAAGATGACGTCTAATGACAAAAGCAACCATCCATTAACCAAAAACATTGACTCATGATTCCCCCACCCCCACAACCACCCTTGCCTGTTGGGCCAAAAGTGAGCAACAAACAACCTTGCCACGTACTGCCTCTGTTGCACTTTATATGGCATTTAAAGTTTTTTGATAAAAGTATTAAGAATGCAATGGGCAACAACCTTGTCAAGCTTCTCATCACTCGTCATCGAAGACCAGAAACCATAATGCTGAGTTCATCACATTTGCAGATGAAAATACTTACAACACAGTCTTTTATTAATTAAAATGATTGGAAATTTCAAAATCTTAAGGATCTCACATCCTTTTTAATGATAATTTCGCAATTTCCTACAAAATTCAATCAATTAAAGAGAAAGTGTTCGATGGAGTGAGTTACAAGTACTCCTCTTGTCAGATTTATTAGTGCTGAACATCTTCTGAAACTACCTAGGAAGGGAGTAAAGACGTCATGTAATTCAATACATTCTAACAACTCTATACCTAGAAGGTTCGGCAATCATTCTATCAGGATACTTTTCTTTCTTAAGGAATAAGGACATACGAAAATCATAACAAGTGGCATACTTCACGAACCACGATATGCTAGCAAAAGCCATGAGCTCAAACAAATGACTTAGGGCAATCTCCTTATGTATATAGTGAACAGCGAAAATATAAGTTCATTGAACAGCGAAAATTGAATCTTTGATTGACAATTAAAGAAGAACGTTGATAATTGAACCCTTAGTTATTAAAAAAACATAGACATTGGTGGATTAAGAAATGACAAACCTCGGAGCGAGCAATGGTGAAAACGGCGTGTGCAGTGTTCTTGTAACTGGGAAGATGCGAGACTCGACCGTCGTTAACTGCAGAATCAAACAAAGCGTCTTAGAAAAGAAAGCACGAAAGATCAGAAATCTTCAGTTATACGAGAAGAGAGAAAACCTTGGAACCTAGTTCGAACAACATCAAGGGGGTGCATAACAGCGACGGTGGCGAATCCAGCAGCGGCGCCGGCAGTGGCGTTCTCCCACTGCCATTGGTGGCGCTTAGACGCTTCCGCTGACATATATATGATATAACATGGGAAGATTCAGATTCAGAGTTGAACTGATTTCAACGTTAAATTCGAAATGGAGATAGTATGAATGGAACAGAAGTGTCGTTTGATTTTGTCTATTACACTAAAGAATAATATTGTGTCTACTTAGTCATTTCCCCTCAAGTTTTTCATTTTCTTTATAGCATTTAGACGACATTTCCAACGTGTGTAGGAAGAACACACTCACTAAATCGATAATTCACATTTCACAATAACAGTAACAACAGTGATTAGACAAAAACGCACCTCATTTAAATATGTCATTTTGAAAGATAATACAAAATATTAATCTTCGGTAATATACTCCAAGTGAAAAAAAAAGAAGGTATTTTAATTTTGTTAAAAAAATAAAGGATTAATACATCCTTTCATTCCAACTTAACTATTCCATCCTATACCACCCAACAATGCACCAGTTTTATACACCCATCTCCAGATCCCATCCTATATACTATTACACTCATTAATAACTCAAAAATGATATAATTTTCGAAACCCATAAAACTAGATATTTCATTGTTAGGACGACATCAATATAACTAAAACAAAGAATCCTTACTTATTAACAACAAAACTGTGACCATTAGATAACATCTGCACCTCTTTCATCAATCTTTATATCTTCAAAGAAAATTCCTTTAGCTTCCCTAGACCTATTTTATATACCCAAAATTTAAAATCTGCACAACGAAAACCTTAGCCTATAACCCTTCACCATTCTTATAATCCACCCATGCAACCCCAAAATATCATTTGCGTATTTTACCTATCAACAAGGGACGTAGCAGCACATACACAACAACAATTTCATGCACTTGGTATAAACCATATTATGATTTCCCTCCCAAGATAGGTACCACGAAAACCATTAAATGTCAATATCAATAACCCCTTCTAGCTCTCTGGATTCCAACGTCTACACTATATAGGAAGAAAATATAATAATTTTCTTCATCTTACCGTGACCCCCACATGCATTGAAACTCTTCACTTGCAAAAAGAAAACATGCACTCTGGAGAAATTTTTGAACAATAAATATATGTTCTCATTGTATCAACTCGTAGTATAATATCTAAGAAATATATACTCTTTGTATTTTTTCTGGATTACTTTCCAGAACATACAAATACACAGATAACACTTTAAACTCTCAAACTTATACAACATACAACTCACAAAGTACAACCCATTTTCTCTCTTTCTCTCGCGGTGATGCACAACTCACAAACAAACACATGACTCAATAATACATGCAACAACTCCACTCTGATTTCTCATGGTGGTGAACCTTTCTCTCTTTCTCACACAAATATTTAAAGTTTACCAAACACACTCATACCATCATGTGATGAAAGTACATTACATCCATTTATACTACTTTCATACATTTAATACCCATCAAACATTCCATGCAATTACAAAATAATAATTTATTATACCCATAAACCCATGTTAGTATCTCTATTGAGAACACAACCCATCACCAATGTACTCTATTGTCATATTTCACTCATACAACGCGTTAACACTTCCTACTCTTATTTACATTCTTAACCTAGCCAACCTACGGCTACCCTCCAAAGATTCACGATATGCACTTTTCCCTTACTACAAAACCACATGCACTGTAATCCTTCAACTCGTGCATTCATATTCTGGGAATAACATCCCAAACCATTTTTTTTCCTTAGCAACCCACAACCTTCCAATTGGGTATACTATCTATCCACATAGTTTCTCAAGATTAACAAGTTTCAAAAGAAACACATCATGCTCAATCAATACATCAAAAAGTTAACTCCCCTTACCTGGGTTTTCTAGTGAATTCTTTAAAGGCCCCTTGGTTCTTAGAAAATCCTGTGACTGCAACAAAGGCCCCTGCACAACTCCTTGGTACTCACAATCTTCTCCCTATTACTCATTACACTCATGGTGGACGACAAAAAGTGGTGGTTTCTCTTTTGCGCACTCTCTCGAGTTGTTGTAGAATGTAACTCAAGGTTGCTTCTTATTTCGCACACAAGCCGTCGGAGGCTGCGCATTCTTCCTCCCCCGCTGCCGTCGTCATTGAGATACCTAGCTATTGGCTCCCCCACACTCTTGGGTCTCGCTGGATTCCCTCAAATACCCACCGGATTCTCATTTAAGATTCGTGGAGCTTATAATATGATGGCAAAACTTCCCAGGAAGTTGTTGGAAACGTGAGTTATCTGCTCTGCGGTGATTGTTATGTGAAGAGGGTTAATCCAAAGGTGATGATTATTGAGGTGGAGCCCTCTGATGCAAATGCAATGGCGTTGTCATTCCATCATGATCAGAGAGTGATTTTGGACCAGGTTGGAGGATTTGTAGATGGTGTGGCTATTGAGCTTTGCACCTAACATATCATTTTAATTTTTTTAAAATATTTACACAGTGCAACCTCTTCAAACGTGCCACGTATTCATAACGTCACATTGCACCGTTATGTTTTTAACGGTGTGAGCGAAAAGGACTGGATTGAACATTTTTAACGAAATATGAGGCTTTACTGAACTCTTTTAAAAGGTAGAATCACTTTGAACCAAACCCCTAAAAGTAGAGACCAAATGATGTATTAAACCAAAAATAAAACATAATCATATTTGTTCGCATACAATAGTCTTACGTCATTTAAAAATTAATTTTTTTAAAAATTTAAAAGAGTTTAAATATTATTTATTTTTTCTACATTTTGATACATCTTTTGAAATAAAATCATAAAAATGTTTCAGGTTGCAAAACAAACCATACTTTAAATATATTGAAAAACATCCTTCAAAATTAATTTTCTTATTTTCTAGTTATTTCTTAAAAATAATTGGCATAATTTTCTTATATTATCAATAATGAGAAATAGGCACAGTATATTTTTTAGGAAAAAAAAATTAATAATGATTGCATAGAAAGTATGAAAATGCTTTACAGTATACCGAGATATGAATATATATATATATATATATATTTGTTGTTGCTTTTTTTGTTTTTTTTGAAAAGAATGAGGACCAAATTGTACCTTATTTGAAAAGGGACGAAAACCAGAAACGGCTCAATAGTTAGGGACTAAACATATTTAACTT